CTACTACTACTACTACTACTGCACCAGTGGCTGTATTCCTAGGTGTAGGAGTAGAAGTCGGAGAAGGAGTGGCAGTAGCAGTGTCGTTTTTGAAAAGTTCGAAGCAGCAGAACGATAAGTGACGCTGTTCGTACTGCAGCTTGATCTCTTCTTGGCTGGCATAGTTTGAAGCATCCTTGATCTGAGCCGGATAACCGGGGTTGCACAGGTCAAGATCCATATAATATAGGATGCTGGCCACGCTCCCCTTTCTGTGTGCAGCCAGCAGGTGGCTGGAGCAGCAGACCGCCGATCGCAAGGCGCAACTGCGGCGAGATGCAGCGATTCGTCGCCAGCAGTACGAGCAAGAGGCATGGCAAGCCTTGAGTATCTCCAGCAGTTGAATCCTGCCATTTGTGGCGCGGCTGCAGGTGGACAGCACCCTGCTGGAAGAAGTTCGCGTGGTAGTCGAACGCTGCCATGACAGGCGGGTTCTCATCGCCTTCAGTACAATCACATATGAACGCCAGCAGATTCTAGTCCAGCAGCACACTGTCAGCTGCAGCAGCATCCTGCGGAACGTCACATTGCGCATGGAAACTGTCCCGTTCAGGCTTACCGAGCTGCAGGGGGAAGCCGTTCGGCAGCGGCAGCGCCTCGAATCCGAGGCAAAGGGCCTTTCTGGATGATGCCCAAATGTAGAATCATGACATGTCGTCGCATTTCACAGCCATCTGTGGGACCTAATGAGATGTCACGGTGGATCAGTACATCTGGCGCAATGTGCCAGAACGAAGTGCAACAGGAGATAGTGACATTCAAAATCTTTCAGCATCTCATCACTCTGTTACGTAGTTTAGCATTACTATTACCATGTCCAACCTGACTATACTATGATGTGCACGGTAGGAAAAGTCGAGCCAAGCCTTTAAGTTTGATACAGTTAGCACACGCACTATGTACATCCTCTGAAACACCATGGCCAGCAGAGTACACGACAGTACAGACTGGAAGAAGACGGATTGGTGCGCAATGAAATATATGGATACCACCATGTTCCGCATGGAATCGTGGTGTACTACAAAGCAACATGGTATCTCGAAAGCCTGTAGGACGTGTGCCATGTAACGAAGCACCATGACGGTTACACAAATAGCAAGCTGTCCTGCTACGCAATGAAATCTGAATCAGAGTTAGAGCGGCGTAGAGAGATCAGGTTACGTAACGAGTCTTGGTAACACAGTGGCAGGTACAACACACGGGGAGGCAGTATGTTCATGTCATGCCTTTGTATTGAGATGTAGTGAAGCTATATGAAACCGTACTGAAGCGTCATCAATTGTCGTCAGACCGTCGTCAGACCTATCAACCTATCACATTGCGCCACATGCACTTCCCGAAGTCAAGCAAATGCAACGACATGCAATGAAGTGTTGCGGAGTGCACTGTTAATTATGCAATGCGGCGCAAGTGAGTGCAGCGACGAGCAGTCATTCACACCCAAAGAACCGCGACAGCTGTACTTTGTTACAACAAACTTTGCTCAAGCAGCTAGGATGCAGCTGTTCAGTGGCTTCTTGCAGTGAGGGGTTCTGAGATTCTGCAGGCTCAAGCCTATAGGACTATGATGGACTACGTGCATTCCAGGGGCCTAAAAGGAATCTTAGGGATTTTTGTTTGTACCAAGAGCGTCGTCAGGCCACGTCGCTCTTGAATGAGTCGCGGCGATACTACCACTTCAAGGTGCCACAGAAGCCATGTCCGAAATGGGAACACCTGAAGCACCCTGCCAAAGCAGAGCTTGAAGAGTCGCCTCAAGATGACACCAGAGACTGCATCTTAACCCGGATTCCCTCCCGGCTCCTCCAAACAGCATGCGTAAAGCCACCGGCTTCAAAGCCTATTGTTGCTAGGTGCGAGCCAGCAAGCCTAAACCCTAACGCAGCAAGCGACGAGAACTACATAGATTTATGCTGTTAGGGGTTTAGGGTTGAGGGTACGATCTACGCTTAAGCCCAAAGTCACCGTCCTTCGCTTGCTGCTGCGGTTGCCGTTAATTACTGCACATGGTCGTTCATGTTGCTGCCGCTAGCGCTAGTACATTGGTTTGTAATATTGGCATTGTAGGTCTCCATCACCATCAAGAAACATACTGGCAAGTGCAACGATTGATGTTAATCATGGCGCAGATAAGCGACAAGAATGAGATGACGGATGCAAGTACGTGTATCCGTATGAACGGTACAAGGCAGTATCCACCACATTGCAGCGCTAGCAAGAACGATCACATCAGGGAGAGCAACAGCAGCGATAGCAACCACAGCATACCTTTACATCTCAAATTCCAAAGCATAGCAAAGGCGGCAAGTGATTCAGGGTTTGAAGCGGAATAGCATAGGCAACAGCATGAGTAAGACTGATAGCAGTCTGCCAGCAGAAATGCCGGTATCGTAGCAAAAGTAGCCAGCAGCAGGATGACAGAAGTGGAATGGCAGTTCTACGGAGTGTCAGCATGTTAGCATACTAAACCCTAAACCCTGAACCCTAAACCCTAAACCCTAAACAAGTCGTAGTGACAGCAATGGTGGCCACACTTAGAAGCCGCCTCCGAATCCATGGACCAGGCAGAGGCGCAGAGGCTGCTGTCCACCAGCGGCCACAGCCGTCCCCTGGAGGCCTCCTTCTTGCGATTTAGGGTTCAGGTTTCAGGGTTTAGGGTTTAGGGTTTAGGGTTTAGGGTTTAGGGTTTAGGGTTCAGGTTTTAGGGTTTAGGGTTTAGGGTTTAGGCCTTAGTGCCGAGTTCAGGGTTAAGGCTTGCCGGGCAGGGCTTGAGCAAGGTCTTGAGGCGTATTAAAGAGGCCTCTTTAGCTGCAACGGTAGACCTTCCTGGCCGACTTCCTGCCTGCAGAATTGGGTAGTTGTCAAAAATTATGGTCCCTTTTGGGGTACCCTAAATACTAGGTGCCGTATTATATTACGGACCCAAAAAGGGACCATAATTTTGACAACCACCCAATTTTTTTGCTGCGTCGTGCTCAGTCAGAGATGGGTGCATGATCCATGCGAGCATGTCGCACGCAGTAGTCGGCAGTGAAACTGGCTTGAAGACATTCACTCCGTCCGTGGTCTTTGGCGCAACTCGTGACGTGGAAATGGCCTCGGACGTTGGAAAATATCAGAATCTCAGCAAAACCGTCTTGTCAAAGGGACCCACAAATTGTCTCCTGCACGGCCAAACCAATGCAGAAACCTGGACTTAAACAGCGTGAACGCCGATGGCTCAACTCCTTCATGCATCCACCCCGGAAAAAGCCCCTGAACCCAGAACTCTAAAATTGTAACCTGCAGGAAGTGCCCGCGGCCATGTCCCCATGGAGGCCCTGGCCAGAAGATGCGCCAGGCGCGGGAATCGTATAGCAAACAGGAAGATCACAGAAACAGGTGCGGAGGCAGCACGAGTAATTGTGAAGATGATCATAATGCTGATGCTGATGCTGATGGCCGTGGTGATGGTGACAGTGATTGTGAGGAGGATGGTGATGGGAGGTGATGGTGATGATGATGCTTATGGTGATGATGATGGCGATGGTGACAGTGATGGCCATGCCTATAGCGATGGCGATGGCGACGACGATGGCGATGATGATGACGGCGATGAAGATTAGCTGAGGTTGAGAAGCTACGCTTCCTCTCTTACAGCTGACACCCAGAACATTTTGTGTCAGCTAAGCCGTGAACAAGACGGGCACGAGTAGCCAGAGCAGCCAGAACGAACAACGGGTGTAGGGACAATGCAAAGAGGGAAGTCATCACATCACGAAGCCTGGGGTGTCAGGCGTGGGATGGGTGGGTGGGTGGGTGGGCGGGTGGGTGGGTGGGTGGGTGGGTGGGTGGGTGGAGTAAGCAGGAGTGCAGCTGTCAACGTTGATCAGCAGTAGCAGTGATTTCTGAAACTTGGATCTGACGCAGCCAGTATCAAGAACTCGGCACTTGATTCTGAATTCTTTCACCCGATGAGAGGTATGATCGGTGCAGTGAAATTTGACCCTCTGGCAATGCGTTCGCATCGAACTGCTCAGTTATTCAAGCCGTGTGGGCTGTCACCTGCAGATCCTAAATGCCAGAAGCCAAACTCGCACCCTTGTGATGTCCTCGCACCCCAATGGCTCCGAGGGCTTAGGTCGGACACCTTGAATCCTTAACTCGGCACCCTCCACCCAAAGCGCCAGACCCAAACCCTCAAACTCTCGAACCCTGAACCCTTCTAGAATCCTTTCCGAGCCCTTCTAGGACCCCGTTTCGCCCTCTGCCCCGATAACCTCTGACTTCTAATTCTATCGCCCTGGTAGTTTATTTTTAATTAAAAACGTTTTTAATTAAAAATAACCTCTGGTTCCTAATTCTATCGCCCTGGTAGTTTATGGGCTGCTTGGAGGCGGAGGGCCGAGGCAGCCAAAGCTTCAGGCGAAGCCCTTTGCACCCTTGCCCCAACCAGAGCCGGCCCCTTTGCTGAATCTCGGGTTTAGGGTTTAGGGTTTAGGGTTTTGGTTTAGGGTTTAGGGTTTAGGGTTTCGGGATTGGGGGGTGTCTGGACTGCCGCTATGAACGTCCAGAAAAGGGTCTTACGAGGGCTCTAGAGGGGTTTGCGTTTTTGGGGGTCTAGGAGGTTTGAGGTGGGGGTTTGGGCTGAGGCCTGGGTTTCTTGGGTTGAGTGGGGTTTAGAGGTTCAAGAAGTTGAGTGCGAGGAGTTTGGGGTTCGATTGGAAGCGCTCGAGGGTTGGGGGTTAGAGGCTCGGGAAGGGGCTTACAAGGTTTTGAGGGAGCGTGGGTTGGGATTGCTTTTCGAACTTCTAGAAACAAACCTCAGCCCCAAACGCATCTGCGAAATCTGGCGAAACTTGGTGTGGAAGGACTTAGACTTCAAGCTGGGCAACAGAAACCCAAGATAATCCGACACCCAACCTCGGAACCTCAAGTCTTGAACCCTCTACGAACAGTTCACCTTGCATGTACGTGCCTGGGTAGTTTACCCAAGCAGATCCACCGATATCTCAAACTGCGATATCATACCCTAACCCTCCAGGTACCTACTATATAGGGCTCTAGGGGCTCTAGTACCCTATAAAGTAGGTACCTGGGGGGGTTTGGGATAGTCCAGATTTCCGAAAATGGCTCCAGTACTGTATACTGTGCTTTCAGGATCCCGGAGCCGCCCCAAACCCTGAAAGCCCTAAACCCTAAAAGCCCCAAAAGCCCTAAACCCTAAAAGCCCTAAACCCCAAACCCTAAAAGCCCTAAGCCCTAAAAGCCCTAAACCCCAAACTCTAAAAGCCCTAAGACTAGACCTGAGGGGATGCGGGGGGTCTATTTGTTTTTGGTGCTGAGGGTCTGGCATGTAAGCCTGTGCTGGCGCTTATCCCCGGGTCCATGTGACCTCTTTCGAGCCACGCGAGAGTGGATTTGGGAGGAAAGGGCCTCAAAACACCCTACGCTAATCCTAAACCCCGAAGAACACCCCAAGGTGAACTTCTTGGAAGCGCTGAAGTCGATGGGCCCAGCCGGGGCCATAGGGCTCTCGTCTTGTTGTTGTTTGTTTTAGGGTTTGGGTTTTAGGGTTTAGTAGAGGGTGTTAGTGTAAGATTTGGGAACATCTTATCTCTCTTACCAACTGCATCTCATGTATGACTGATTGGGACCTCCAGAATGTCCAGAATACCCTGGAGAGTGCTTGTTCATTGTGGGCGTTTCGTTCCGTGCAAGACTTTGATTGCATTTGGCGATGTCTTCGGCCAAAGGGTTGTTGCCCGCAAACCCAAAATCCTAAACCAAACACCCTAGAAGCCTAAACCCGAGAAGCCTAAACCCTAATTTAGGCCCTAAACACCTAAAGCCTAAACCCACTCTCGACTCACCTTTCCTGCTCTTTGCCTCGCCTTTTCTTATAAAGAAGCGATCGAGTCAGTGGAGGGGGCGGGTTTGGGTCTTCGAGGCATGGGGTGCAGCGTTTGGGGTTCCGGGCTTAGGAAATCTCAGGCCAACCATAAGATCGAACATATGACCTCACTCTACTAGTAGAATGTGGCGGTTCTATTTTTTTTGACCGGGAAGGAGCAATGAGGGGAGCTGTTGCAGGTCAGGGATTGGTGCAACCCTAAACCCTAAACCCTATCTTCGACCCCTAGGCCCCAAACTGGCTCCTCCTGGTAAGGAATTCCTGATGTGTATGCAGACGGAAAAGGGCCCACAAAAAAAAACAAACCCTAAACCCTTTGATTGAGGGCCTTTTGAAGCTCCCGGGTTGCCAAGCGAGGTCTTCACAGGCAGCCCGAGCTCAAGCGGTCGACCATACCCGCCGCCCTCGCCAGCATTGCCTTTCTTAGATCGCACGCTGAGCAATGCCAGGCCTGATATCAGGACGTTCTGGGAGCATTTTGTGGGGGTTTAGGGTCTAGGGTTCACGAGTAGCTTCGTCAAACGAAAGCTAGGCAAGTAGTGATCTTCTGGTACATCCCCCCAACATTACGGAATTGTTGTGTTCGCAGGTTTGTTAAAGCAGCTGGTATCTTGGGTGTTGAGAAGCATCATCGATCTCACTGGTTAGTCTTCGGCTTATCATGCCGGAGTTCTCCGAAGACAGGCCCGAAGCCAAATGACCAACGGCCCCCAGAAGTAACACGAGCAGGAGCAGTGGTAGTGGCAGGAGCAGTAGCAGTAGCAGTAGCAGCGGTAGTGCTGGTGCTAGAGTAGTCGCACAAATAGTCGTACTAGTAGCATTAGTAGCACTACTAGTAGTAGTAGTAGTAGTAGTAGTAGTAGTAGTAGCACTAGTAGTAGTAGTAGTAGTAGTAGTAGTAGTAGTAGTCGCAGTAGCAGTCGCAGTCGTCGTCGTAGTAGTAGTAGTAGTTGTCGTCGTCGTCGTAGTAGTAGTAGTAGTAGTAGTACTAGTAGTACTAGTAGAACTAGTTACTAGTAGTAGTAGTAGTAGTAGTAGTAGTAGTAGTAGTTTTAGTAGTAGCAGTAGTAGTAGTAGTAGTAGTAGTAGTAGTGGTCGTCGTCGTGGTCGTCGTCGTTGTCGTAGTCGTAGTCGTAGTCGTAGTCGCAGTCGTAGTCGTAGTCGTAGTCGTAGTCGTAGTCGTCGTCGTCGTCGTCGTCGCAGTCGCAGTCGCAGTCGCAGTCGCAGTCGCAGTCGCAGTCGCAGTCGCAGTCGCAGTCGCAGTCGCAGTCGCAGTCTCTTTCGCAGCCGTAGTCTGTCGTGTTTGTAGTAGTCGTCGT